CAATTTCCAACCATTTCTTATGCTATCGGCAACGAAACCTGTCGACTGTTAGTGAAAATTTTGATTAATTCCATCTATGAGTCGGTTTCTTAACCATAGTCAGAAGAGTAATCCATTGGTGAATTACCGGTCTAGAATCAAAAGGCGATTAAAAAATTCTAGCATTGTTTCGCGACTGAATCTCACTTGTGAATGAAGATAAATATTTAAACATGTTGTTTTATTTCCCCGAGAGAAAAAAACTATTCAGAATTTGATTTTTACTATTGATTTATTTACTTAGTTTATTTTTAATGATTTATTTTCTTCTCTTTTAGTTTTTTTTTGTTAATGAAATTACGTCGTACTGTTCGTTGTCTTCAGTTTCTCTTAGCAAGATTTGTTTTTCAGGAATTCACCGTGACAGTGTGTTAATTGTTGCCAAAAGATTAAGCTATGAAGTAAGAACTACAGGTAGCTTATTTAACCTTCTGAAGATAATGCAATCAGTTTAGGACTGAAACTTGCCACTACAGTGGCTTAAAAATATATCCCGGTCACGGGAAGCGTATGGTGCGTACCGACGGAAGGGTAAAATCGAAAGCATAAGCTCGAACGTTTAAAATTACAGCGCTTTTCTTTCAGCTACAAATTTTTCTCAATTCAAAGTGTGAGCTATCCAACAGGATGAAACGAAATCCTAGGGAAATCAGATGGACCGTCTTCTATCGAAGGAAAAATAAAAAGGTAAGTGAAACTTTGAAAAACTAAACATCAAGATGTGAAGTCGTCCATGTTACCCAAGCATTTGTGATAAAGTTGATTTTCCTGTACATTTTTCTTTTTTTGGTCTCATAACACCTTATCTTTCTTGATCAGGAGCGTGCAAAGACCTTCTCTACCATATTAATATTTTGCACTCGTCTAGTTCTAAGTAAGGCAAACGGCGATAGTTATATGAAAGTTATGAAAGAGTTGTAGTCAGTCGTCTGCTTTTGTAGAACCTATTGGAACCTTGGTGCTGTCTAGACTTGTGCTTACAACCATGTATCTCTTGAAGTTGCTACAGTCCTACCGATCATGTCATTGTTGCTAAGGAGCTTGTTAGTAGTAGTTGTTATGATAACGAGTTGTGCGTTGAAAATTGAAGGCGTGAGGCCTTCAGTAGTTTTAAAGTGATAAGGAGAATAAAACTGCGAAACCAAGTAATACTCATTTGTTTTACCTGTATTGATTAGACTATACATCGAATTCGCAAACTAGACTAAGCACCATTTTGGGGGGTATATTCCTACACATGGAGGTTACCTCATGTGATTTTACTGCATAAACGGAAGCTTCATCTTCATCATCTGAAGCGGTGGCTAACATGACAGGTTAAAAAAATCTTTTGTGATAGCCTTCTGAAGATATGCTGCTAGAAATGTGCTTTGGCATTATTTTCACGAAGGTCCAAATTTAAGATTTTCATAATTTAAATGCAGTTTTGGGGTTTTGTTTAAATAGCTTTATAGAAAGTGGTTTTTAGGGTGTCCAATCAGAAGAAGTCAGCAAGAAGAAGACAAGGAAGGTGGAAAAAATTTTCAGAGCCATCGGTGCAACTCCTTTCGCAGATATTTTGGCAAAGAGGAACCAGAAACCGGAGGTTAGGAAAGCCATACGGGAGCAAGCGATAAAGTAATATGGAGTATGATATACTAACGCCAAATGTGTTTACGGTTTATATAGAAATGACGTTAGGAAGACATTTACAGCAGGTTTAGGCTCTTTGTTACAAAAAATTGTCCGCCGCTTCATAATTTTAATCCAGCAGCCTGTACGGTTATACGGATTGGCAACAGATTCGTACTTTATGGCCTCATCAACTAATTCTTGTTCTTTTCCTATGAGTGAAGATATGTTCCAATTTCCGACTTTTAGCTCCTACTGGTGGTATCGTTTTCGTGGAGCCTTTTCTGACGTGCCGTAATGACATCGCGCTGTCTCCCTCCTCCGTTCAGAACGGGTAGCGACTCCGTTGCTGACTGGTATCTTCGTCATCGTTGCGTCGGTCTTC